AGGAGGGTCACAAAAATGATCAGGGGGCTGGAACACCTCTCCTATGAAGAAAAGCTGAGAGAGTTGGGGTTGTTCAGCCTGGAGAAGAGAAGGCTTCAGGGAGACCTTATTGCAGCCTGTCAGTACTTAAAGGGGGCTTATAAAAAAGATGGCGGCAAACTTTTTAGCAGGGCCTGTTGCAATAGGACAAGGGGGAACGGCTTTAAACTAAAGAGGGGTAGATTTAGACTAGATATAAGGAAGACATTTTTTACACTGAGGGTGGTGAGACACTGGCACAGGTTGCCCAGAGAGGTGGTGGATGCCCCATCCCTGGAAACATTCCAGGTCAGGTTGGACGGGGCTCTGAGCAACCTGATGTAGTTGAAGCTGTCCCTGCCCACGGCAGGGGAGTAGGACTAGATGACCGTTAGTGGTCCCTTCCAACCCAAACTATTCTATGATTCTAACAGCCTTGAACCTGACCAACTGTTTGATATCATTCACTAGAATTCATGGAGTATTTGTTTTTCTAGTTCTTCAGACTATGCAGCGACAGGAAGCTGTAGACAGTACTTTGCTAATATTGGGAAAGCAAATCTTGATGTTCTGCAAAGAGAGTCGCCTCAGCGGAAACAGCTGCTCTTGGAGGCTTTAGCATGTTTGGTACGTGGTGAGGGGACAGCTCTGCACAAGGCTGGGGAGAACTTGGGGTTCAAGAATGCTCTTCTACAGTGGCATCCAGTTCTATTTAATGCCTCTGTCTTGCATTACTTCAGAAAATTCCTGGCACACAAGTAAATGAGGAAAACGCAGAGATTCTGGGACGCCTAGTCTGTGACCTGGGTGGAGAATACATTAGAAGTTCTGGTGGGAATTTGCTGAAGCAATTAAACCAGTGTGAGTCTTTCCTGCCTGATCAAGAAGAGGCTATTAGGAGTGTCATCAGCAGTGGTAACACTACATTTGGGTATGAATTTTTCTTCTGGGCATCAGCAAAACAGTTCCCTTAAACAAAACCGTTGTCCTGTTAAGATGTGAGTGAACTCCAGCCAACCAGCTTGATCAAAAACTTGAATAATTCATTGCTTTTGAATTTCACATTGGGCCTTTTACATTGTTTTATTTGAACTTCTTTCAGCTGAAAAGTGTGGCTGGAATTCCACTGAAAAATACGTTGTCAGTTCTGTGTCTCCCCTGCTCTAGTTATAAAAGCCTTTCCTCTGGTCTATTTTTCATTAATCAAACTTCTCTGAGACTGTCCTGATGAACACATGTGGGCTTTAGCTGTTTGTCAGCCACTGACTTTCAGAAGACATTCTGTTTCTACCTGTCAAACTGACAGATGCTTGATAAATCCCTGGCTATATCTAGCAGAGACATTGTCCAGGGGGGGCAAAATATTTTCCCTTCCGGTGTCAAATGCCCTGAGATCTTGGCACTGAATTGGGCAATAGGAAGCAGCAGATATTCTTTGGGTTTCATGCTTAAGAAAATAATGTATTTGTTAAATGCCATTTTCCTATCCAGCTGCCCTTTTTCATGTTATTAACAAATGCTCCTGCTCTGGTGGAATGAAGTTTTGTGTAACAGAAAGTGATCAAGAAGTTTTAGGATTTAAATCTTGTATTTTCTTAACTTCAAATGTTAAAAGGACATAATCCTGGCAGCTTTTAAGGTGGTTTGTTTTGGGTTTTTTTTTGTTCTTCCTTGAAAGCTGATCCCTGCTAATTTTGTGTGCAGGCCTCTTGTAGCATGGTCAGCTTTTACCTTGAATGAGCTCAGTGGATTGATTCCTGTTTTTGATCACAGCATCTTGCAGAAGATCCCCAAGGTGGGTTATTCATAGAAGTGTGGGGAGTTTGGGAAGCACTCCTAGGTCCTGCAGTATGGAAGAAGTATGATGGGGGTTGTTCAGCCAGTATGTTTTCAGTAGTGTCTTCATCTAAAAGTGTGGTGCCAAAGGGGATGGATGGTCTATGAGAAGTGAGGGTTGATCAAGCTGACAGCCTGGAACTGCAAATCTAGATCGCTGTCATCCTCTTCCTGTACCTGTCAGAAGAGTACCAGAGGTGGAAAGCAGTAGTAACTATATACAATGCTTTGTGAGGAGATAAAATCATTTATGGGACGTGGGATATGATAGAGTTTAAGGACTTAGGAATTTGCCTTTGGCTCACCAAGGAAAGGTCTCTAGGCTTATAGCAGCATATAACATTTTCTTTGCAGAATGCTTTAACTCTTTGGCTGAAAAACTTTGCACATGATTCACCTCTGTCAAGGGAACAACTGGCCACCATTGTCGAAGAACTCCTGCCTACTAGGCATAAGCGTGCTGATGGTATGGGAGCTTTCTCTGATCCATAATGGCAGCATTCCCCCAGTGTTAGGGTTGACCCTAGTGCTTGTGGGTCTCCCTGAATATGTCTGAGTTGAATTGTGAAATGCTTGGTGGTAGGTCACCCAGGAGGAGGGTGGAACCATGGTTGCATACCTGTCCATCTCCAGCGAGGGAGCATTCAAAGCTTGAAGCAAAAGGATTTAACACTGAGCACATTTGATAATTGCTTCAACAGGCTGCCCACCTGGCAGGCAGATAACAGAGAAGGTTCTTAACGATGACTTGATGCCTATTTGGTACACACCTGGGGAGTTACGTGCTTGCCTGAAGAACGTCTCTCTGGAGAATCACCTCTCTCAGATACTGACCTACTCCTTCACTACTCAGCAATTAGCTGTGCTGAAGACGAATCTGGATGAGGTAATGCCAAGCTGAAGAATGTCAAATTATCTGCTGATGAGATTGCTCAGGGACTTGTCCAGTTGAGTTTAAGTATCTTCAAGGACTGAGACTCCACCATCTCTCTGGGCTCCTCTTCCAATGTTTGACCACCTTTACTGTGAAAATAGGTATTTCTTAGTATCTAATCAGAATTTTCATCGCCTGTTGGCCCTTATCCTTTCACTGTGCACCTCTGAGAAGAGTGTGGCTCCATCCTCCCTATAATCTCCCATTAGATAGTTGAAGACAGTAATAAAATCCTTGCCTAGTCTTCTCTTCTTCAGACTAAAAACCCCAGCTCCCTCAGTCCCACTGCTCCACTTTGTATGTTGTGTGCTTCTGCCCCCCCGACCAGCGTGGCCCTCTGCTAGACTTGCTAGTCTTTGCTAGACTTTGTCAAAGTCTTTCTTGTACCAGGGAGCCCAAAACTGGATGCAGTATCCAGATGGGGTCTCGCAAGTGCCAGCCAAATGGAGGGGAGTAATCACTTCCCTTGACCTGCTGGCTGTACCGCTGCTAGGGAAGCCTGGTATTTGATTAGCCTTCACCACTGCAAGGCATACTGCCCACTCAGGTCTGTGTTGAGACAGTTCACAGTGCTTCAGGTTTTGGTCCTTCCTCCGGGGCCTGCTTGCCTTGAGCTATCAAGCAGAAAAAGGACAGATGGGCTCATGGAATCTCACTGGCTTTGGTTTCTTACTCCTTGCAGTCCTTTTGGGCTTTTCCACATTAATTTTGCAAAGAGCATAAATTCATAAGCACAGGCATGATAATGAGTGTTCAAAGCGATAACAACGGTCTTTCCACAGACGTATCCTGATGGGTATCCTGAAAGGCTGATCCCCAAACTGGGCCCTCTCCTTTCTTTCATCACCCTTGAGGACATTTCCAGATGGAAGATAACTTCAGCTGACACACTGGCTGCCTTGCTAAAAGATCAGCCCCCTGATGATCAGGTGGGGATTTGGGTTTGCTTTCTTGCCCATGTTTGCTTCCTGGTTTGGGAGCTGGTGGTTTAGGACTAGCTTAGTGGGTTCAGAGGTGATTGGCCCATCCTTGAGGTCCAAACAAATAATTTGAAATGATTCAGTTTTATTTTTGCAATTATTGCATTTGTTTTTCTTTTGAGGATGAAAACATAAATTCTGATTCAAGTTAACTTTTGAAAAAATTAAATGTGTTTCTAGGCTTCTGCAATAATTAAACGATATATTGGCTTGGGAAATGCCTTGAATGTCACTGCACTGAATGCAATTGGTATGAAATACGTGTGCCTTCTCAATGCAAATGAGTTGAATGCGATAGACTCCAACAGCTTGAAGTGAGTCAAATATTGTGATGCTCTTGGCTTCTTGCAAAAGCACTTTTCCCATCAGCAAGTGCAGTTTCCTTTTCTCTCCAGTCAGTGAAAGGAAATCTAGGAAGCAACTTAGTACCTGCTCTGTGTCCAGGTTTAAAAGCCTGCTGTTCTCTGTCCTGCCAGGGAGGGCTCAGATTTGCAATCAAGCTCTCTTTACTGCATCTCAGCTGACAACAGATATAGTTTGCTTGCATGCTTTTATCTAGAGGCAAAAGACAGTTAATTAAATTTAATTTGAATTCCTTTGAAAGGCTGCTAAATGAAATTAATGAAATAATGATATCTTTGCAAATACATAAACTTATCATGCACCATCAGAGCCATCATAACTTAGAAGACCTACCATTTTGAGCAGGAGACCGAGCCATTATTTTTTTCGCTTAGCTTCTCTCCATACCTCTTCTATCTGCTAGGGAGAGGGGGTAACTTGTTTTATGTAGAGAATCCCAGAGAGATACTCAGAATAATTCAAAATTTGTTCAGGTTGAAGATAGTAAAAACTTTTCTCTCCTTAAATCTTCATTTTTCTGCAGACTGGCATCTCTGAATCTTTCAGCCTGTTCACAGCTTGCGAAAGACATCTTATATGCTAAAGCAAAACGTGCTTTCTCAGACGAGGACTATTTACCTGCTTATTATGGGCTTATTGAACCATATCTAGGTATGTAAAAGAACAGTATGTTATGGGGGGAGAGAGAGTTCTTAGCCAGAAACTGAATAGGCATCAAATACCATCTAAGATGTGGGAATTTTCAAAGCCAAGTTGTTAAAAGTTTTGGAGAGTTTGGGTCCTTCCAGCTTGTAGATGGCGTAAAATATTCTTGAAGGATTCTGTACCTGACTTAAAGTTGCCCAAATCAATTGTCAGACTATCACAGGGAAAATCAAATTCGTGACTTCCGGGATGGGTAAGATCTGCTAGATCCATGAGAAATCAAGCTGCTAATGCTTACCGCTTATCTCATAGCCATTCTCCATGTCACAAAACATAGATTTTTCCCTGTTATACCAAGAATTTATTCACAGCCTGAGCAAACTCTTCTTACCCCTCTGTCTAGCGTCTGGCATTGTCACAGATTGGTTTAACAGCCAATACAGTAATACCCCCCAGCAAAATGAAGTAGCATCCATATATTTTGCAGTTGGAACTCACTCTGTTAGCACCCCAAGCCTAATAAATTTTGGAGACGTCATTATAGCTCCAGCTTATACAGATAGACAACACTGCTCATTTGAGGACTGTCCTCCATGCATTGATATACTTTCTCTTTTGGGTCCCAGGGGGTGCTCCTGGTGCGGATCTCAGAGATCTAAGCAAGGACAATGTGAACATGAAAGTTAGTACTTTGGCGAAGTTAAGGACAGACTCTTTGATGGTGAGCTGAATCTTGAAATTATTTGACTCCTTATATCATGTTAAGTGGTTGGTTTTGGTTGCATTGTCCATTGGTGTAAATCAGGAGTCACTCCATCAAATTCAGAATGATGCTAGACCAGTAGAAGGTGGAGTACTGGCCTGAAACTTCTTTAAAAATGTAAATTGGAGTCATACATGGATGCTTAGCCAGTCTTACTGGGGAATTTCTTTATAGCAGGCTCTTGTAGCAGTGGTGGCAGGAGCAGGAGACAAGCATCCACTAGACTACACTCCACAGCTATGTGACAAATCTTTTAACAAGAGTGTTAGCAGTAATATCATCGATTTTGGAAGAAAGCCCAGAGATTTGGGCAGGGACTGAGGCCCCAACTTGGGTGTAGGAAACTTGTCATCAGCGGATAACAGAAACAGGCTTTGAGGAACCATTGTGTTCATTCCCCTAACCTAAGGGGCGAGAGTGTCCCAACTGAAACCACTCACCAGAAATTTGTTTTGTTCTTCACACTTTTGCTAGTAGAAATCTCATCAGTTCATTGGTCAGAGGTATTGTTTCCATTCCTGCATTTACATCCATAATTCTTGCTCTTTGATTTCTCCTAGAGCCTGACACCTTCTGAGGTTCAGGGCTTGCTGGGGATGAATCTTGGAGATCTGGAGAAATGGCAGAACAAGTTTCCCATCCGGGAGTGGGTCCAAAGGCAGAAACAATCAGAACTGGATAAACTGCATGTTGGGCTTACTGGGGGAACACAAGAAGGCTACATGAACATCGTCATACCCAAATTTCAGTGTACGTAGTATGTTAGGACCTCTGATTGTTGTGCTTTAAATATTTATTTTTGGGTTACAGCAAGGAGAAGAACTGTCTTACGGAAGCAAGGTGCTTTCAGTTGTCTGTGAAAGAGAAGTGAGGGCACCAAGCTGATGTAGCTCCCGGGGCCCTGAGTCAGGGCCTTGCTCAAGCAAGTGGTGGCCTTGGGCAGCGCTGCCAAACAGCTCTGCTCCTGCTCTCAGCAGTGCTTGTGCCAAGGCCCTGGAAAGTCCTGCTGGTTGCTTTTGTGCCAAAAGAGCAGAGACTGTTGATCTGGGCTACTGTGCACCCCTTCCAGTGGCACTTGTCACTACCCATCCACCCAGCCCCAATAAAACGCACTGGGCAGGGCTTACCTCCTCCCTTCACCTGGCAGCATCAAGGGGCAGCAAGTTCACTTCTGCCAAGGAGCCTTAAGCCTGGCAGAGCAAATTCTGGATCCAAGATGAGAGGCAATCCTGTAATCCCACTGAGAGCATCCTTGCTGACTGAACATCTCAACTGAGTGAGCACTTCCAGAGCTTCCTCCTCTGCTCTGAGTTGGATTTGGGCTATGACTTGGTGGTCCTATTAGGGGTGGCTATTTACTGGTTGGAAAGCCCTAGTCAGAAAGCCAAAGATCTTCCCTGGATGTGGCATAAAGAGGTGTTCTCCCTCATGGGGGAACGGTTCAATTGTTTATTTCTTTGCACTGATGCCCCCTCTTTTTCTTCTAGCACCATCCTCAGCCCCTCTGGGTACTGTGGCCATGACACTCCACCTCTTGCCTGCTCTGCTTATCAGTTTCCTGATGATGTCGGTCTTGTCTTGAAAATCTTCCTTCAAGAGAGAGCAAGACGAGGGGGACCAGCCTGTGACCTGCTTTGAGGCCAGCTGGGGACAGCCACGCCTCGGGGGTGAGGGGATGCTCAGTGCTAGCAGGCAACAGTTATGCAGCCCAGGGTTCACTTTTAGGTACTTTTCTTTTTCAAATCACTCAAAAAAAATCAGTGTTCTCTCTGAAGGGAAGGTTTCAGACTCTTCAGAGCAGGACCTTTGCCTTTTGTACAGACCAAGCCCAGGTAAGGCCCAGCCATATTACTGCGACACAAACGATGGCAATATTTTACTGTGCAACTCTGGTGGGTTTAAGGGTGAGCAAATTGGCTGTTCTGCATGTTAACGATTACATTTGTCAAAGAGCCTGATCTCTTGACACTGCCAAGACCTCTGACTGGGAGTGAAGTTTTCCAGCTGATTGTAAATAAATAATGGAACTAAGTAAAAAATGCCAGAAGCAAATTGATTAGTTGCTATTGTCTTCTCTTCATTCAGACTGCCCACACCTTCGTGTCTGCAGGTATCGATCCAAATTAAATGGTCAGGAACCCCAAACATGCCTGTTACTTTTCTTTGGTGTTGACTACGCAACTCTAAGGGCTGAGACTGTTCTCTGCTTCCTCATGGGGAGGGTATGAGAACTTTGTGTAAGATTTTCAGCACTTTTTTTTTCCACTCATTGGGAATTTCTGTCCAAAAAAGCCTCAGTGTCTCCTGTATTCAGCCCCTGAAATCCCTGTTCTCCCCCAGGAGGAGAGCCTGTCTGCAAAGTCATTATAAATGTTCATTGTCCATGCTTTACAGAAAGAGAACAGGACAATCTGGTCTGTCCTTCAATACAGACTTCTGGGTGGCAAGAGACACTTCCCCACTGCCTGCATCCCGTGGTGCTGGGGCACTAGCTAGGGTGGGGCAGAGCCCAGTGTAAGAAAGACAGTCTGCATTTTCAACAGCATGGATCCCCTGGTAGAAATCTTGAATTGTTTCTTCATGCCTTGACTAGCTCTCAGCAAATGACATGCAAGAATCTCCTCAGCCCATGGAGATTGAAACTAGTTAAGTGCAAGATCTGCAAGTTGGAGGGAGAAACACTCACTTGCGGCAGAGCTATTGGAGGAGGAGATACTAGCTAATGAAGAAAGTCAGAGCAAGAGAAGTGGAAACTGTTCAGATTTAAGCTAGCTAGAAAAACTACACTACAAAGCACTAAACACATCAAAGAACACATTTGATTAGGAAAAAAGTTGATTGATGTTTTATTATATAGCATTGCAACAGTAATCAAGATAAACTGTCTTCAGTTAATCATCCCTCTAACTAGGTTTCACGTAGTTTGAACAATCTCATAAGTTAATGAAACAAGTTAAATGCAATTTAATGGATCTCTGAGCTTTCAGACTGCATTGCTGGGCCATATTCTGCTTCTCTTGCAATGGCCAGTAACTCAAATCCCTGAGTTGTCCCACTGTTTCAACAGATCCCAGTGGGACTGCTTAGAAGTAAAATACCACTCGGTGTGAGTAAAGCTGGCAGAACTGGGCCCGCTATCAGCATTAACGCATTGCCAGCCCAGTCAATATTGCTGATAATTGTATTCTATAGAGCAACTAGCTAGTTAGTACCTGTTGGGCTTCTTTGGGCTGGAAAAATATCTGTCTGCCTTTCACTGGCCCAGCCTCAAAAATAATAAGCAAATTCCGTGCTGGTGTCAAATGGACAAACTCTATTCCTTCCCCGGGTTTCTGCTTTTCAGCAAGGAACTTGCCAGCATCGTTATTTTGCAGGATGGTGAAAATTAGAGGAGGGATCCAGTGAGTATGGTGCTGGAGGTGGCAGCGTCAGAGAAGCCCTCGCAGCAGCGAGCTTCCCACGGCTGTCATCAGTATGTGCACTAGGCAGGAGGAGAGTCTGGATCCTGATCCTAGGCGGAGAAGACAGATGAGAAAGAATTGGATTATCCAGACAAACAGCACCCGTGAGCTGCCAGGGCAGTAGAGTTGCTTTGGGATTCAGGTACCCCCGAGGATCGCACGTGTCAGGACAACACTTCTCTGCCTTTCGTGACATTGCCCACACCTGCGCCTTCAGGCACTGACCTGCACCCCCATTATACATGTCACCTGGCTGTGAATAGTCAGCAGGACTGAGTCTTTCTTACTTCTACCAGCGTAAAGCAGGAGTAAATCTGTTTGAGTCATTAAAGCTACGAATGTAGCTCTGTCAGGATAGAGGACTTCAGATTTTAGGGCTTTTACAGTGATGCCTAGTCAGAAACACTATGTGCAGCTAAAATACGGAAGGCCGTATCCTTGCCTTGTGAAAAATATACAGTGCATTGGCATTAACGGAATTACTCCAGCTTTCTGCAGAGTGGTTGAGGGGTGCTGCGTGCTCAGAAGGTGACGAGACATCTTAAGGTGCACCTTTTTGGACTTGAGAGCTCACGGGTTCCCCTCCAGATCCAGGGGCTGTAACGCCCTGTAGAGACACGTCGCTACCTGTCTAGCCAGTAACTACTTGGGGTTTCCTGTGGACAGCAGCATGCCGGTATTGAATCTGGCCAGAATAAAGTGCTTGCCAGTGAAGACTTCTGCCTCGCCATCGGTTCCTAAGCCTTTCCCGACTCCAAACATTCACACCTTACCAGCTTCAGGTTGCAGGTTGATGTAGCCGCCGGGTGTTGGTCTCACTGGCTCTGGCACGCCTGCGGGTGTTTTTTTAGCGGCCTCACTGCTGGTGGTGGTGGAAGAGGGGCCGAGAAATGCTGGAGGGGCACCGGTCTTGCAAGCCAATGTTGTGGTCTTGGCTGTTGAGGAGACAACACTCTTTTGGGTGGAGATGGTGGAGTTGGGAATCGGGGTGGGCTTGTAGGGAAGGAGGTTCATCTCTGTGGCTGCGGTGGCAGTGGGTGCAGAGGTGGAGTTAGGGACAAGGGTGCTGGGAGCGTTGTGGGTGACCGGTGTGGCGGCCGGTGTGGCGGTGTTGCGGGTGGCAGGAGCGGGATGGGCGGTACCCCCCCCAGGTGCGGGGTTCATGGACACCAGTGGGGTGCTGGTGTTGCGGGTGGTAACAGCCGGGTTAGTAACAACACTGGTGGTGGTGGCCCTGCGTGTGAGAGCAGGGGGTGGGATGGAGCTGAGAGAGGTGGCATTGGGGTTGACAGCAGCAAGGATGGTGGTGAGGAGGGTGACAGCGGGGGGGGTGGCCTTGTTTGAGGTGGCAGGCGGGTGGGTGGAGCAA